CTAATGGTGTTTGTAAATAGGATATCAAGTCCGCATCTCGTACAGCAATTAACCACTAAGAAGAATGTATGCAGTGTGTTAATTATTGAAACTGTCCTACGATTTGATTTGAAACTGTCTCATTGCTATTTATCAATAAAACTATGGCAAAAAAAAAATCAAAATAGACATTATCTTTAACGTGAAAAAGAGATATAGTATTTTTAAAACTATTTTTGTAGTTTACAACAAGATATAAAATAATAAATACCATAAGGAAGATACTGCAGGAAGTTCAAGACAGCAGTTCTTTGTTTCGTTTTTGGTACCAGAAATTGAACTCAGGACCTTGAGGCTGCCAGGCAGGCACTTTGTGCCACTGAGCTACATCTCCGGCCCTGACAGTAGTTCTTCACATGGGACCTGTGATTTCAGGAGCCTACGCTACCTGATAGGCCACACGAAATTATCAGTGGCAGTTAAACATGCACAAATACATAAATTTTCTGCTGAGACAACCTAAGAGACAGTGTCATAAGATTCCCCAAAGGGATGTGTAAATTAGCAAAAATTTACACTAAGAAAGGAAAATTTAAGCCAGACATAGTGGCTCATCTCTGTAATTCCAATACCATGGGAGGATGAGGCAACAAGATTGCAAGTTCAAGCCCAGCCTTAGCAATTTAGCAACTTAATGAGACCTGTCTCAAAATAAAAACATGCAAAGGCCCTGGGTTCAATCCCCAGTACCACATGCATATGCATGCATACATGTGCGTACACGCATGCATGCACATACACACACACACACACACACACACACACACACACAAATCCAGATATGGAGGAAGAGAAGCATTCTAGGTTAAGGAAGAACAAATCATGACACAGAAACACCCTTTGTAATCAATTTTTCCCATATGGTTTATATTACATACTTACAGTGAACCTTTTCTTTTTCTCTCTGTGTTCATCAGAGCTGGGAATGCTTACACTTGGACAGCTTTCCTTGTAGTCCATGGTATAATTTTTTTGTACTTAATGTCTCAAGAGGACACCAAAAAGTGAGTCGAAGAAATAATCAGGAGAATGAGAACAATTAACTAATCCAAAATATGAAACCTCCTGAGGTAATATTCAAATTCCATCATGCAACCTTAACAGAAAAAAAGAAAAAAAAAAAAAAAAAGAACCTCTCAGCCATTGATCCTCTAAAAATGAGCAGAAGCATAAAAATTACAAACAGCTGCGTAGTGAGACCCTGTACCAAATACACAAAATGAAAAAAAAAAAAAAAAAAAAAAAAAAGAATTATTAGCAAAACAGTTTTAAATGCCTACTACCACCTGTCATTCCTTCTAAGAAGGATCCATTTGATGATCATTCCGGTAGGAATGCACTTTTCCTCAGCTTAGGAACTACCAATTTAGTTTCTGCTGTGTTCCTATCACTAACCTGCAAACATCTGCACCTCATCTACCTCCCTCATTAAGGAAGTTCCAGAAGTCTATATTCCACAGGTCATGTAGCATGAGGTTAACTCTCACTAAAGGAGCTCTGGCTGGCTGACCAGAGCCTCAGCCTCCCGTCACAGTGGTCTACCACTTACATAGCAGAGCAGGTGGAGCTTCCATCGCTGTTTAAAATGGATTAACTTTACCTAGACAGATCATCTTATCCTTCCTCAAGTTCCACCTTAGCCCACCCTTCTCAACCTGCAGCTGGCAAGAGGGAAGATTATGCCCTATCCTGGCCACACCTTTCCCTTGAGAATGTAGGACATGGTTTTTGTTGTATTATTGCTACTGCTGCTGCTGTTATTATTATTACTATTATTGGTATTGGGAACAGAACCTATGCCTTTGCACTGAGCTGCATTACCAACCCTATTTTTTTAATTTTGAGATGGTGCCTCAATAAATCACCAATTTGCCCAGAGTGGGCTTGAATTTGAGATTCTCCTGCCTCAGCCTCCCAGAGTGCTGAGATTACAGGCCTGCTCCATCATGCCTAACTTAATCATCAAGTGGGGGAAGACAGGAGGGTGGGGAAGGCAAGGAGATGAAAAGTGAATTAAATTGTATTAGGTACATGTACCAGCTCTCCATAAAGAATGTAATCATAAGACAGACAAGACAGACAAGACAAGCAAACAAAGCGAGTTTGGTATGGTGAACACCTGTAATCCAGGCACTTGGGAGGCTGATGCAGGAAGACTGCCATGAATTGAAGGCCAACCTGCACTACATAGTGAGTTCATGGGTAACCTAAATTACAAAGCAAGAGCCCATCTCAAAAAACCAAACCAACAAAAAAAGAGAATGTAGGATATAGTGGTCGGTCCCACAGGTACTTTATTATATACAAGCATAAATGCCTGTGCCTTGCTGTGGTATAGTCCACAAAAACAGAATAAGGAAAACATTAGGCCTTGGGCCTTCTGTTTAGAAGGGACAGTAAGATATCCCATTGAGTGGCATGTTATGAAGGAGGAGGAGCAAGCTAGAAAAGCAGTTTCATAGAAAATACCTAGGGACCTTCTAATGCAGGCAAAGGAGGCAGCTGAGTGTAGAAAACTACAGTCAAAGTACACACTTAATGGGGGCCAGAGGTTCTTCCCTGGCAACTGTGCTAGTCAGTCTCTATTTGCCTTTCCAGATCCAACTGCTACTCTCCATGGAGTCCAAGGTTGTTTAAGCCCTCCGCTGTCTTTTTGACAGTGATAGTTTCACTTTCTAAGAACACAGTTTCTACCAGGCAGCTCCTTCTCCCAGTTACAGTTGAAAGCCTAGAATTAATAATGGCTTCCTGACCTTGCTGAGAAAAGGAAGCTTCACCATGCCTTGCTTGGTACCTTAAGCCCTGTTCACAACTCCGTAGTAAACAATCCTGTTAAGACTCCCTTCATAGGAAGAAGTGCGGGTGGAGGGCAGGGTGGTGATAATCCAAGTAACTGATGAAAACACTGACTTCAGAGACAGTAACATGGGCTAGGTCTGCTTCTGGCTGTCCTTGAGAACGTCCACAAAGTAAGGGTCTTACTTTTATATCTGCCAAGCTGAGAAGAATAAGCATTAAATCTCAAGTTTTCTGGAAAGCATTCCAAAACCAGTTAAACAAGCAAACTTATAGTCTCTGTGCTAACATACGGATTCTGTCTGGAAAGCAGAGTAATCTTAATTATAGAGAAATCTGGGCAAACACAGGTGAGAGTAAGAATGTTGAACTCCAATTCAGTTGAACTTCCTTACTGAAAGCAGCTACTTCATTCCTCTGAGGAGGTCCATACTCCCAATACCTCCCTTCATAAAATGCTTTCAAGTTGTTTGACAGAGAAACACCAATTCTCTTCGCAAAGTGCTCCTACTTCTCTTTATTGTCTCATAGCCCAAAAGTGCTCAGCAAGTAGTTCAAGTCTTGCTCTGAGAGAAGATTACCTTCTTAACAAAAACTGCAGAATATCAGCAGGAGTCTGGACAGCACATTGGGGATTACAATCAAAAGGTATTAAGGCAAGAAGGATTAAACAGATGACTGGGGTCCACTACAAGGCCACATGTTTATACTGCTGTTCTCTAGTTTTTGTCAAGAACAAAATGCAGCAATTCCCCACAGTGATTGTCAATGCAGAAAGGTAAATACAATCCTGCCAAAGGTTACTGCAAACTATCTCTACACTGACACAAATCCCAGAAGCCCAAAATGTAATCCACCAGTCAAAGAACTCCCAGAGATAAAAATGTGTTGCTTGTGTCTTATGTGGGATTCTATGGAACCCAACAGCAGTCCTATGCTTATTTATCTACTCTTGACATTTTAGTGAAAATAAATATAGTAGTACCCAGTCAAATCCCCCACACTGGTTTCCTGTTCTATGTGATAAAAGTTATTAAGAAGGATTAGGGCCATATACAAGCCTCTGACAAACACCAAAAGAAAGGTACAAGTTGTATCAATTACCACACACAGATAATTGTGTATGGTACCTGTATGATCCCCCCTACAACAATCTTCTGGCCCAAGATGTCAAATAGTACAGAATCAAAACTAACATTTATTGAACATTTATGCAGGACTGTTTTAAGTACTCACATTTAAGAATCACTTATTCTTCCCTGCAACCTCTGAAATACTATTATTCCTACTTCATAGATGAGGAAGAAACCTAGGCTAAGAGGAATACATTATCACACAACTGTGAGTGATGGCACCCAACTCACAAACCATGTCCTTCAACTTCCTGTACTCTTGTTTCTTACGCTTCAGTTTCTTTATACATCCTCTTCTAACCTTATCTTTGAAGACACTACAGAGTTGAAAAGAATCTATTAACTGGGTATCCATAAGGTAATACGCTTACAGAGAGAAAGTTAGCAAGAAAGGGAGATTTCTGATTCTGTTAGCAAGAAGGGTAGCACTGTCAGAAGTGGCCCCTGCCTTCCAGTTCTTAAAGCATTACATGTAAATAACTAACTGGCAGCTTGGTAAAAAGCAGGCAGACCCCATAACAAGGACAACCAAGAGCTAAATTATGAAATAAAAAGGCACAAGAAATTTAGATGCTACTGAGATACATATTTTAGAAAAGAATTTATCGTTTTAAAAACATTCATAGAGTCAAGTATTTATTTGAAGCTATACAAAGTAGAAATCTGTGTAAACTCTGTGGCAGAAAACCGTCCAAATTGTTCTGTTAAAATATGCTGATTTAAATACTGCTTAATAGCATTTTGTTCCTTTACCATAGTATCTTTTTTGTCTGTTGCTTACTAATTACTGTTCTGTATCTGTTTGAAGGCAGACAAAATTTCTCTTCTAAAAAGACCAAACTATTCTTATGATTTTACCTCTACAAAAATAAAAAGCCCACTGGGCATGGTGGTTATGCCTATCATCCTTGCATTCTGAGAGGCTGAGGCAGGAGAATCACAAGTTTGAGTCCAACTGGCCGATTTAGCAACCGAGATCCTGTCTGAAAAGAGTTAGAAAGAGATAAAAGAACCCATACTAAGAACGTTGCTCAGAATAAAGGCCCTGGGTTCAATCTCCTGTACACCAAAAAAAAAAGAAGTAAAATAAAATACGAGTGTTTCTGAGGCCCATTTCTTCACTTATCATAAAGATTGGTTCTTTACTGACTAGTGGATCCTACCCAGAGGAGGAAGCAGATATACTCCTAGGTTATCAGTATCCACTCTTAACAAAGAAAATAACAGAAAATACATCTTTTGACTCTGTGGGTACTACAACAGCAAAGGAATGAGAAACACAAACCAGAGGACTAGAGGTAAGTATCTTTAAGAGACATTAAATAAAAGGGTAGTACCTAAAACATAGAAATAACTTTGGTTTTTTTCAGTACCGAGGATTGAACTCAGGACCCTGTGCTTGCCAGGCAGGCTCTTATTCTACTGACCTATCTCCCCAGCCCAAGAACTCTTAAAAATGCAAGAAACACCACAATAAACAACCAATTTAAAAATAGGTCAAAGATCTTAACAGATACCTCACCAAATAAAATATACAGATGGCCAGTAAGCACATGAAAAGATGTTCCACAGCTAGTTATAGTGGCCACATCTATAACCCCAGCACTAGGGACGCTAAAGCAAAAGGGTCATGAATTAAAACCCAGACTGGGCTACCTAGCTAGACTGTGTCTCAAGGGAAAAAAAAAAAAAAAAAAAGTAAATAGAGATGTCACATCATATGTCAATAAAAGGAGATACAAATTAAAATAACAAGATACCACCATTGTACTTGGAATGGCTACAATCCACAAAATTGACACCATCAAATAAATGCTGGTGAGGATGAGGGGCAACAGGAAATCTCACTGGCTGCTGATGCGAATGAAAAGTGGTACAGCTGGGGAGATGGCTCAGTGGAATAAGCGCTTCTCTGGCAAGCGCAAGGGCCTGAGTTCAATCCCCGGTTCCGCAAAAAAAAACTCTTCAATTTTTGGGGCTGGTGAGATGGCTCAGTGGTCTGAAGGACCTACTTACAACAAGCTAAGGAAAGCACAGGGACCACGGTTCAATCCCCCAGCACCACATGCCAGCCAGCCCTGCCCCCTGGTGGGCTGAGCTGGACGCACACATAAATAAAATAAATAAATTTAAAAAAAAAAGAAAGAAAAGTGGTACAGCCACTTTG